ATTATTATTATTATTATTATTATTATTATTATTATTATTATTATTATTATTATTATTTATTTATTTATTTATTTATTTATTTATTTAATAAAAATATAGATGCATGGGAGGCATAGTTGACTGTTTGTGGCAAGGGTAGAGGAGACTGCTTCTCACTTATGGGCATGAATTATAATTTTTAATTAAGAAAATAATTGGTCATGATATATGATAACATTTTGAGCTAAGGTGATAGGGTACTTTATTCGTCTAAAAATTGAATGATGTATGCACCAGAACGGCCTGCACGAATCTCGAACAAAATGATCTGCAATTCAGTGACAGACATGAGAAGCCGTGTCTCTAATCCTAGGATAGGTCAAAGCTCTGGAGATGATCCCTCGCCCAATAAAGACAAGATCCGCCAAGAGAGAGGTGTAATTCATCATAGCAGCAAGTCTCATCGAATACCGCACACAGACAGCGACAAGATGTTGCAAATATGGGTATCTGGTTGTGGCGACGAACCGACCTGGTAGATGAGATGCGGGCCTGGTAAGACTTGAGTCAAAGCAACAGGCGAGTCACGGTTCTCTGAACAAAAATAAATCGACCCGTCAGTCAATCAACCGACCCCTTGATTGTAATTGGACGGTTGAATTGCTTTTGTCGTGGCGAAAGAGATCATCGTTCGACCGAACACCTCGGTCGACCAGACACAAAACACGACTGACACCTAGTTAATCGCCTTAATTGGTTGCATTCTAGCTAATAGATCAACAAATTACCGTCATATCAAATTCAATTTACAATACATATATGGAATGAAATCCATAAATTTGATTAGAGCATTAATCATATTAAGAATAGTTTCCATAACTATTCTCTCCTTTTTTTTGTAATAGTACAAAATATGTTATAATAAATAAGAGACAATAAAACGACCAAAGGAGGGTGGCTCATTTGGACTCTTCGCTGGTTCTATTCTCTCTCATTCGCCCGACTCTAACTCTCCATGCACGTTCACAAAAGAAAATTTGGAATCCAACACATTAATACCAATATAATACCATAGTCATACTTAAAAAAACATTGCCAAATGCTATGATGTATAGATATTTCATAATAATGAAGTGTGTTGTGTTGTGTTGGATAAGTGCTCAACATATATTAAACATGTCATTAACATGTCCAATGTAAAACAAATGACATACTTGCCTGTCTTATTTACGGGTTGAATG